AGTTGTAATGTTGAATAAATGGAAATATCAGAACAATGAAACAGAAAGACATTATAAACCGAAAGTAAACAGACAAATTGTGATCAAATAATGCAAAAGCTAATATCATAATTCAAGGATACAGAAGTAATCTTCAGGAGCTTTGAACATTGTAATACAGTAGTTTCAAAAACTTTTAACGACATGTTTCTTGGCTTTAGAATGATTCGTTTGATTAACATGTACTGTATGAATAACATTGCTTTAGTACTCGTAATCGGGTCTCATCAAACTGAGTTTGGTATAACCTGTTCACTTTTTGTCTTCAATATTCCCTGAAGATCTCCTATCTGCCCTAAGTCATACTTCACATAAACCAACATCAAAAATTTCCCTTAATTGACAAAAATCATTTTTCTTTATTCATAAAGCAACAGGCCTTCAGATTTGTTCTTGTTATTTCTAAAGAAAAGCTAAAAAAAATTTTAATAAGTGCACACATACAGAGATATTTAACTTTATCTAAGGACCAAACTAGCCAAACAAAATTTCATTCAGCCGTCAAAATGTGCAAATATCAGTTTTGCTTTGTGAGTAAAATGGTCGACTTCTAAATTCTTAAGATTAATTTTACTCATCTAGTTGCGTGCCGCTTTTAAAAGAAACAAATTATCAAGAAACCTGTTTGTTTTAGTTAATCACCGAATTGTAAATAATCTATATGTGAATGTGAAAGTGAATATTCCATGGTATTAAATAAGGGAAATGCGACATACAAAATAGTTTTATGTTTTTGTCTGTCAACTAAGGCTACTTTTAGGGTTTGCATATTAAATTACAGCCGAACATCTTTGTGAAGCCAAAAGCTCTAATTAAGCTCTAACGTCAATAATTCTATATAATGAATGATTACAAAATCCGATTTAAGAAACCAAAAAAGGACTTTCATACTGAAAAACTGCTTTATAGAAACTCGCTCTGTATGCAGTGTCATGGTTTCTTTGAATTTCCCTTTGGAGATGGCGAAGGCAATCCTGATATTAAAATTGTTGTTTGAATGAGTAGTGCGTGAATTGTCTTAGTCCATGATATTTCTATAATTGGTTTAGCTTATTTGCGTAATTTAAACAAGGACTCGTTGGATAGCTGGACGTATTACTTTCGTTCCAAGGCTTAGAAGCTTCGTCAAAACAGGACCGCAATTGACCTTATTTGAAAATATTTTAAGGGTTTGGTTCCCAAAATCGAGCTCTCCCTTTTTTGTTACATTCATAGTTCATGGTAGGTGAATAAAAATGCTAATAAAATAAACTCTTAACAACTATCAAAATCGTTTAACGTTTCATGTAACATTTTAAACCATCAAATTGCAAGCTCCATTCGTTAAAATAAAAACATACATTAGTTTCTGTTAATGTTCTTGGAAGGAAAAAAATGCATCATATAAATATGATTAAACAAATAAACTGAAACAACAATAGCAAAGTGTAGATCTTATTTCAAATGTGTACAAGCATATCACTTTTCGCTAACGGTATTTTATATGGAGGCTATTCGTTGCCAAAAATCCAACCTTGTTGATCTGAGTTTAACAGTTGTTTACGGACAAAATACAATTGTATATGTAACCCCAATGTTTCATTCTTGGATTAAGTTTGCCGATTTAACATTTTAACATGTATTTCAACAAAATACACTTTGTTTAACAACAAAACATTATATTATTAACTGTTTTACTGATAGTAGCAATACCAAGTGTTCTCCCCACAAGGCCTCCGATCTTATTCAATGATTTCTCAGTTGCCCACAAGGCCACCAGTAATTATCAGTAAGTTATTCAGGAGAGTCGGTTAGATGGATCGACCGCCGATATATGACCAAAAGCATGTTAAAATCGGCGTAAAATTAGGCAAACATCTAGTGATACCCTAAACACTGCCAAACAAAATTTGAAATATCAAACAGGATTTCTGTTCATATGTTACAAAATGTGACATTCGCATGCTTTCTACCTTTTAAAGCACCGACTTATTTATGTGACTTGTGAGTTGATTATATCCTACTGAGTTTTATGGCCCATTTTTATGATTATTAAAAAAATTGTAAGTTAATTGGGAACATTTTGACGTCCACAATGTCGGGTGCCCTAGTTTAGCACGGTCACCATTAGTATTTTCTTTGAATTATGTTGTACCTGATGCACACAAATGCACGCTGCCAAACAAATATGAGGTAACTTAATAATACTCCGACTATTCGGGTATATGCAAAAAATCTCATGTCACATTATATTGGTAACATACAACAAAGTACAAAATCGTGTACTCTGCTAGAACTGCATACCACACTGTCTGAATGAAAAACATATTCATATATAGACAATAACAGATAAATACTTTACACAGTTTTATTTACAATCAGATAAAAAAAACACTCAAGAAACTTGGTGAGGAAACCACATCATTTGTCTTTTCAGACGCATGTTTTTCTTCTTTGATGTCTTTTTTTGTTGTCTTCTGGATTTATAATTTGTATTAACACGCAAATATGCACAACTTAAATATTTCCACATTTACATTATTTTACCATTAAACTGGCTAACAACAATTACAGATATACCACATATAATGCTTGTAGAAGGCAAATAAATACAAAACAGCACACTTTTGCCGTAAATCGTTATGTACTCGTACAGCACTGTCCTGCACACAACTTTAGTCACCGTTTTTCTTGTGATCGTATGGGTCTATTTTAGGCGACATATCATTTCTATTAATATTTCTCGGCGGCAATACCGTATTGTTATACAATGGATCCTCCTCCTGGACACGGTTATAAACATTTACCTGTTTCACATTTTGCGCGGCGTCTCCATTTTTTCATTAAAACGTTTGTAGCTATGATCGGGGCATTTGTTCTGCCAGGGTCCCGGCCAAAATTGATTATTAACCCCGGGAATGCAAATTTTTGGAGATTATACCACAGAATACAGGCAGCTGTTACCTCGACCCCTGCACCATCTTTGTCTGATTTTGGTCTGGTCAATTTTGCACAATGCCCAAGGGACCTCCTTTCCCAAATCCTGCGTGGTGAAATGACTTTCGCTATGAGTACCATCATCTATTCATCATTTAGAATTTGAGCACTCTCCACCATTTATTAACCTAACAACCATTCATCTCTGCTGCATGTCGTTTCCTTACGGGAAAGGTCGCTCTCCTGGGAAAGAGAACATTTATTTATCTTTTTTCATTAGAAATTTGACATAGTGTATGATAATTATTATAAAAATGTATGGGAAGTTGCGTTTAATAATTTTGCTACTGCTACTGTTGTGCTACTGCTACGCTATTGCTACTGCTGTGATACTACTACGCTATTGCTACTGCTGTGATACTGCTACTGCCAATTTCACGTTTTATAATTTTGCTACTGATACTGCTATCTGCTACTGCTTGACCTATACTGTGTCGATGTGACGTAAATCTCAAAACAAACAAACAAACAAAATCTGCTACTGCTAACTTCCTACCGGTTGAAAGAAAAAAACAAGCTACTTGTATATAAACTCAGTTTCAAAGACAGTGTGTACTTGCTTACTTAGAAATTCTGTATGCTTACTCTAACAAAATATTGGCAAATTTAGTATGAAAATTTGCAGAAATGTCTTGACCACACAATGGTTTACTTTGCATTGAAATTTGGCAATTGTCAGAATTATAGATTCGTGTAAATAGCGGAAGTGCGAAAAAAGAAAAACCCGAAGAATTGTTAAACGCTTTTTTTACCAAAGTGATCGAGACTGCGTGGAAATGACGTAACGTTATATGGAATAAATAACAATAGAATTGATGTTCCATTCAAATATTCAAGAATCCAAAGACAAAAAAGCATTTTCAAAAAGAACAATTCTGCAACTTCTATGTCTTATCCCTCAGGTGCTTTCACGTAATCAAAGTGCTGATAATAAGCAAATCTCAATTAATTAAATGTAAACCATCGTGTAGTGAATATATTGCTACTAATATTTTCCTCAATTAAGTGTACAAAATTACCAGTTGCTAAGTGCATACTTTCTTTTGCAACTGATTAAAGATATAATGTCTATATTTATATCTTGGTGGACAGATACACAGATAAATAGATACAGAAAGATGCCCCAATCCAAGAAGCTTCTCCTGGTTCTTAAACGTGCCGGGTGTAAGAACTCACAAACGGGGCCTCGATCTGAAAGAATGGTTAGTAATTTTAGTGGCCAGTTCGGGAATCGAACCCTAAATTTCGAGATTACCAATCTCGCGTTCTCACCGACTGAGCTATTTAGACTGGCGTTAGAGAGAGAGAGAGAGAGAGAGAGAGAGAGCGAGAGAGCGAGAGCGAGAGCGAGAGAGAGAATAGAGATAGAGAGATACAGATAGAGATAGAGAGAGAGAGAGATAGATAGATAGATAGAGAGATAGAGAGAGAGAGATAGAGAGAGAGAGAGATAGAGAGATAGATAGATAGAGAGAGAGAGAGAGAGAGAGAGAGAGAGATAGAGAGATAGAGATAGAGATATAGATAGATAGATAGATAGATAGATAGATAGATAGATACCTTGGTTTCATGATATGAACAGGTAAATTGTTCACTGTACAAAGGGCTAATCAAGTTCAACGGTACTTGCGTTTGAAAGTTTTAAAGATTTATTTTTACGATTCATGTATAAATGTTTCTGTTTTAGTAAGAAGAAAAAAACTTATTTTCATATTCTAGGGATTGCTTACGTAAACACATAGGAAATGCGATTATGTTAACTTTATACGTACATATATTTACTTTGGAAACACAATGTCTCTGACCAGTTTATTACATTCATTTAAACGTTTACCAATTTTCACCTTGTTTCATGACTGATTTTCAATTCAAACTATGCAGATTATGTAAAGTTCATTATTCTTTTTTACTGCTAAGGACATTAAAATAATCATTTAGATTATATATCTAAAACGACATTTTTATAAAAGTCAAAAGGTATGTTACTGTTTTGTCAACTGTCATGAAATGTTTACATACCTTGTACCAAAGAGATAGCCTCCTAGACAAGATAACACCAATAGAACAACTACAGCAACAATAATGCCTGCAAACTCGCCATCTGTAAAATACAGTTCAATCAAAACTATCAACATTCAGTTAACTATATTACACAATTATACTAACGCGATCAATATTCTTTAAGTTTACATTTAACTAAAATGATCGGTTTTGACTCTCTAAGTACATGTAAATTCTCGTTTTAATTTTCTTTTTTGTAGAGAAAATGTCATGAAAACTGTTACTATTATTATTTATTTTGAAGCTGGTGAACAATATACCTATCTATTGATCTTAAGTGGCTACTACATTTTGTACTGTTTCAATTTTTTAAAGGTACTTCAATGACATGAAGGAGCTGAAAATATTTCTTTTAAAATTCATGTACTATTTGGTGAAAGTCTTGATCAAAAAAGTGCTAGCAAAATTTCAGATCATTTGCTCAGTTTTTTTTCTGCAATAATCACTTTAATTGTGCAAAATATAAGGATTAAAAAAGAAAAAAATGCGTTTCTATATTGGACGGCTGAAAGGATGTGGCATTTTCCATGTGCCAATAAAGCCCAACGACTGCAAAAAAAGCATTGCAAACTTCTTCCGAAGCGAAAGTGACGGGGAATGACGTTTCTATAGAAAGTTTTACCGTTACGGGAATGATTGTAATAAACTTACTTGATAAATCTACATTGTTTTCTACATAAACTTGTCTGTTGTAACCTTCAGTTACTGTGGTAGATACAGTTGTACTGGTAGATATCGTCGTGGCTGTAGACGTTGTGATAGGCACTGTAATATCAGGCAAAAAATGTTAATCATGATTTGTTTTTGAAAGTTGATGCTAGTAGCCTAATTGTTCATGTTCACATAATTATGTATTATATTGTTATATAATAGATCGTTTCATAATCATCATTATCATTATCATCATCGTCGTCTTCGTCATAATCATTATTGTTATTGTAAGCATCATCATCATCATTATCATAAGTGTCATAATAAACATCATCATATACATCATCATCATTATTATTGTAAGCATCATTATTATATCATATTCATCATTATTAGTGTCATCATAAGCATCATCATCGACATAATCATCATCATTATTATCATCATCATAACCATCGTCGTCGTCACTGATGTCGTCTTCGTCATCATTTTCGTTATCATACTGACATAACAAACAACATGATTTGCGCTGTTTTAATTACACCGGATACACTTTCATACATGGTTTAAGAATCGTCCTTAAAATATTCTTATAAGATATACCGGTAATCCACATGACGAAAATTCCATGGGAGTTCTTGTTATCGTCAGACAAGAATTCTAACGTAACATTTGTTCGTAAATTGTCAAATTCTTTAACAATTCTTCCGCATAGAGTAGACTTCAGGTTATCATTTGTTGACATTCCAAAATATATCTGAAATTACAAAGATACGCCATCTCAAATT